ATTTGAAAAAGATTTAAGAGTGCTGGTAATCTACGATTAGAAATCTTACGCTAATTGTGACAAAAATACCTTTCTGGCAAACCTTACATTGGTAAAATTGAAGCGCATTTTTGACCAGTTTGACGGAAGAACTTTCTATATAATCTTTAACAGTTTTATTCGTCCCCATTTAGAGTACAAAAACATAGTATTTCCTCCCTCACTGCAAAATGATAAGGACACTCTGTAGCGTAACCAATGCCGAGCCACTAAATCAGCTCGGGGACTCAAATTCAAGCCTTATAAAGAGCACCCTCTAATCACTATCCTTTACCTATTAAAGTACAGGCGTCTGAGAAGTTACCTAATGGCTTACAGCCTCCTTAGTACTTCTGGACATCCCATTAGACACCTACTTAAGTTTGGCTCCAACACAAACCTAAGAGGTAACACCCAGAAACTAGAGACACAACGCAGCAGAACTGACACAACTTCTACTCCTTAAGAGTTGTCAATTGATGGAATTCGCTGCCGGCTAAGCTAATTCAAGCGACTTCCCAGGCATCCATTAAGAAACAACTTGGCCTATTCTTAAGGACTAAGTTTCAGTTTCAGTTTCGAACGGACAGGAGGCTTGATGGCCTGTTTTCGTCCTGGTAATAGCGGTCTCTCAGTTGATCTAACTTTCTTTTGAAAGAGTCGACGGATGGAGCCTCAGTCACGTGCTGAAGAAATGAATTCCACTCGTTGATTATTCGATGGGAAAATCAAAGAATCAAAAACCTGTTAGCGTCGACATACCTAAAAGCCCTACATACTGACCATAAAGTTCTAAAACCTTTGACGTCTATTGCACGGCAGTGTGCAGTAGTCTTTAAGTCTCGACTAACGACGACGCCCCATGCCATTATGTGTCTGGACAACAGGTAGCTCAGTGTTATTCATCGTGTATGCATCTGTACCTTGATGACCGATATGCATCACAACACACTTGGAAGTATTTATCGGCATCTGCCACGTTTGAGACCATTCAGATAGTTTTTTCAGGTCATTTTGGAGACGATGCGGACCTCCCTACTGAACCATGGTGGAGAGTTTTTCGGAGCCCTCGGTATAGTCCAAGGAATGTGGGGGCGGTAACTTTTAAGTATGAATTTCGAAATGGGTCCCAAGCCGTCTCAATTGAGGACTCTGGGTCTATTGTCCAATTTAATGACGATGCCGAGTGCATGATCTTGCCTGTAAACTGGCGTGCCTCATGTAACAAACTGTTATTTTGACGACAAATTATTATTATTATTATTATTATATCTGGTAGGTTTGCTTTCTAGACGTTAGGTCTGGAATGAGCTGATGCGTGTTCGTGACTGACAGTTATATGGAAGCCAAAAGTTAAAACTGCGTGATCACTTTTACCTAGGGGTGGCATATAATGGAGGTTTGCAACGTCATCCTCATAATGAGTCAATATAAGATCTAGTAAGAATGATTCAGTCCGCGTGGTACCTGGTCGCTTCTTCCACATGTTGCACTAGGGCACATGTGATAACCACATCAACTAGTTCCTGCTCGAAGGAATTTTCTGACAATTCAGTTCGCAAATTTTCCCAGTCTACCGCTGGTGCATCAAAGTCGCCTAGGATTAGACATCGACCACTTTGTGCTTCACCCAGTGTGGCTTCGGCATCATTATCTGTCGAAGCCTCACAACCCGAAAATTTACAATTTTTAGGTCCTTTTTCGCCAGCGTCCAACCTAAGTTGCAGTTCTTTTACGGCTTCCCGTCTTTTTGCACGGCCTGCAAGCTGCAAGTCCTTAGGGACGAAAGCTCCTGATCCTTTCAGCCTATGTCCATTCTGTAAAATTAAGTCGCGTTCCATCGAAGATTTGAATACTACTTTAAGCAGTCTGGATTGATTAGGCTTCAAGTTCGCTTGACTACTTAGTCTGTACACCTTAAGCAAGGTGACCCTGGAGATATTTTATAGCATAAGTTGATTAATTGGCTGTTTTATCATAACAATGTCATGCTCGAAACAAGTTTTCGTTCAGAGCTTTCACTCTCCTTGATTTTGTGAAAAATAACTGACCTGCCACTGTGATCAGTTTTCAGTTTCATCACTACTTTTATGAGGGCAGGATTCCTTTTTATATCATTATATCGTTTCTCGCTTACAATCTGTACCCATTCGTCAACGTTGGTTGGAGTAGCAACCACAGTCGCGTCAAACATACTTCGGGATTCCGGAGGGTTCTCGACGAGTTGGGAGGTCAGGTTATGTTTCCCGCTAGAAACCGATCAAGGCTTTTGATTGCATCTTCTAGTTGTTTCCTGCTGTAAACCATTTAGAAAACAGGAGATAGAAGAAACTTCTTTTCTGGAGTTTTTAGCTAACACAGACCCTTTGGAGACTATCTTTTTTCCTTTGGTCTATATGGGTCAGCAGTTTTCAGACTCACCTGAGTTTGCTTCACACAGAGCGAGTGCTGTCCGATATGTCCCGACCATTCTTGCCAAAAAACTTTTTTGCAGCGTTCACCATTGTGATTGTAGTGTCGGTTATTATGTTAAGCCAATATACCTTATTCTATCTTTTGGACAGGCCAATCTGTTCATTTTACTTGAGCCATATTTTGAACTTGTTAATTATTCGCTTTTCAATCTTGAATGTTTTTAAATGAGCGCATGTGTGTGTACACTTCGTATCCCATTGCTCATCACATAAGGATCACCACTTTTGTGTGGCTCTTTCGTCATCATTTAAATCGGACGATGCTTGTTGACGGGCTCTCCACTTTAGTGGCTTGAGTTCTGACTCCAATTTGGTCGTATGCATGATTATTACGGATATATATATTTCGCCTATCCTCGTATAAAATCATCGACTTAAATTGCGTTAGTCAATAACAGAAATACATAAGTCAAATAACGAGAATGGACTTTTGAATACATGTATTCCGTATATGAAGAGAATAGTATAGACTTAAATGAAACGACGCGTGGTGGAGATGCCGAGTAAGCCAACTGCCTTTAGTCAAACGTTTAACAATATTTGTATCCCCATAAAAATAAGTTACAGACATGTGATGAATGGGATGGGAAGTTTACCCACAGATTCAGATTTGTGTAGTAAGGACAGAAGGCCTACGGCCTATGTTATTCCTTTTCTAGTATGCTTCTGTGAGTGTCCAGTCTTTTCTTGAAAGTGTCAATTGAAGGTGCGGACACCACTGCTTCGGGCAGCAGGTTCCAAGTATTGATGACTCGGTGTAAAAAGTCTGTACGCCACGGGAATTTTGTTCGTTCTTGGCTTTCCTATTCGCCTGCTATGTACTCTGAGATGTCCCGATCTAGTGGGAAGAAAAAGAGAAAATAAGTTAGATCCGAAATCATTTCTCAGTATTCTGTACATCAAGATTAGATCTCCCCTTAGTCTGCAATAGGACAGAGTAAAAAGGTCCAGCTTTTCAAACCGCTCTTTGTATGGTAAGCCCCGGAGTTCCGGAATTGCGCTGGTGGCTGCTCTATGTTCTTCTTCTAGGATATCCGAGTCATCTTTTAAACAGGGGCTTGCAGCCTGAACGCAGTTTTCAAGCTTAGTTCTCACTAAGGATGTGTATACTGTGGTGAGCATGGTAGTATCTAGCTTAGTGAATGTCCGTTTTAAAGCCCAGGGGGTTCGAAACCCCTTAGCTGCGAACTCCCGGAAGTGGGCCGTCGTCTTAAGATCATGACTCGCTGTCACCCCTTGATCTTTATGCGACCGGACTACGGGTAATGACACATCCCCTATGTTGTACGTATTAACCTTTGAATCCCCAAAGTGCATGTAGACACACTTTTCCGAGTTGATAGGCATCAGCCACTCTTTAGACCAGTTTATCATATTATGTAAGTCTGCCTGAAGAGCACATGCGTCTTTGTCTCCAGTTATTTCTTGCCAGATTTTTACATCGTCAGCGTATAATAACATTGGAGACTGTACTATACTTGTAAGATCATTAACGTACATCATAAAAAGTAAAGGACCCAGGACGGAACCTTGGGGTACTCCACTACGTACTGGTCTCCACATGGAGCAATTGGAATTTATTCTTACTTTTTGTCTACGACCTACTAGGAAATCTTTAACCCATTTTAAAAGAGGTCCGGCAAAACCAAGGTTTTCCAACTTCAATAGCAGTCTATTAGTTGGCACCTTGTCAAAAGCCTTACTGAAATCTATCTAGAAAACATCCACTGAGTTTCCGTTGTCTAGCGCATTTATCCAGAACTGCCTTGCTATAAGGAGGTTCGTAGTACAAGATAGACCCTTTCTAAAACCATGTTGTTCCATGTTTAGCAAGTTATTGGTTTCCATAAATGCCATTGTGGTCCGTTTGACTATTCCTTCCAATATTTTATCTACGACACTAGTGAGGCTTACAGGTCTGTAATTTGATGGAACTTGTCGTGGACCTGTTTTATGTATGAGAGTAACGATTGCGTCCTTCCAGTCCATAGGTAACACACCTTGGTCAAGTGACATATTGCATATCACAGTCAGTGGGGCCGCGATATACTGTGTGATATGTCTCAAGATTTTGGGGTGTAGTTCATCTGGTCCTGTTGACTTTTCCATGTTTAAAGTGCTAAGAGCCTTAAATACATCGTCTTGATCGAAGTCCACAGTGTGCAGTTGGTTTGTTGACTGTTTATTTTGGTCTGCTTCTTTCTCTAGAGGAGTGTTAAGAATACTATAAGCCATTAATAAATCACCTCTAAGACGCCTATATTCTAGTGGGTAAAGGTCTAGTGAACGGAGGCGTCTTGATACGTGACAAACAATAAAAATAATATAATTTATCCAGGGTGGAAAAATACCACCGTCCTTTTAAATAGCGCGCGTATGTGTGAGGATAATATCTTACTATGATTTCACAATTTCCTTATCCTCTACTATAGTTAATGTACCTAGGTTCCTGCTTGGAGGTATTGTTGACACAGGGCTACTAGCCACGGAAGCCCGTTAAGCGAAAAATTCTTCTATTCCGTCCACAACCATTTGAACGGTTTGAACCATCTGGACCTCAAGGCCAATGATCCCCAAAACTTCAAATGACTACAAACAACCCTTCGAAGGACAATAAAGCTGATTACTTGAGACGCTACCTCGAACCTGTGGGTAGTAAAAAGAAACGAAAAGTAGTTAACGACATCACAGTGAAATACATTTCGTAAGTTTCCAAAATAAGTTAACTCTGCAAAGTGCATTGGGTTCAACATCCAAAATATCACTCCACGGTTTCGTTTCCTTATTTTTGGACGTTTGCAGCCAGGTATCTCACTGATATGCAATTTAGAATAATATTTACCTATTTTCTTCAATGTACTCATTACCCATTGGAATTTTGGGTCAAGTAGAAAGTCTGGTCCGGATGCAAGGGATGGAGCATTGAACGTGACTAAATAGATTTGAAGATGTATCAACATTCGTCTCTACAGTTGACTCTAATTTTCCCATGGTTGTCTAACATCGTTGATCAAGTTAATCCTATCCAAAGTGGTTAAAATTCTTGACAATTCTTATCACTTGACGAGAAATAGTACATAGAATTTCGGAAGTGTACAATAAAATATTCGACAGGCATGCCCAATTTTTCAGGCAAAAGTTGAAGACATTTAAATATCTTGTCAAGTGGTCACAATAATGCGTCTAACATGTATTGATCTCTGATGAATTAGTCACTGGGTGTATTTCAAGTCACGACTTCCACCCACACTTATGTCACTTCTTTTCGGTATCTAAAGCAGTAGTTTCTCATATCAACTACTAAGACAATTATCATTGCCATGGTAGATCACGTCACAGTGAAATTTGTATCTAGTCATGGACGTTCTAAACCACTTGTATATTCGTCGATCCAAACGAACATCACCAATTGTAACTCTCCGAAAATTAATATCATCTTTCAAAAGTGTCCTAGTAATCCATACGGCATCGATGTTCCATTGAAATTAAGTAGGAAGGGCAGTCAACCTAGAATTGTACGAATAAAAGAGGCTACGCGCTGATTTCCAATGAGTATCAAATTCATCTTCACGTAGCTTGAATTCGGATTTGACAAGATTCTACTTCCTTCTCGAGTTCCATGAGTTGATGTCATCTGGATTCTACCACGTAGGCATATGTTGTCTTTATCCCCGAGTCGAGTTTTTTTCCTTCAAGGTCTTCTATATGGTCATGCGTTTAAAGTCATTGTCATGGATGTTCAAGTACAGTGCGAGGATTAGACTATCAGGATAAATGTTCAGACTGTTACACCCTACGGAAACCACCTGTCTCAGTGAGCAGGTTTTTCACTTGGTAGAGTTTTCCATGCGAAAGCTGGCAATAGTGTAGCCATACTGCTTTGGTGTCAGTATGATATGAACTTTTATGCGTCTAAGAGCTTTATTTAGAAGTGTTTTTTTAACTCTACCAGACGAGTTGATCTACAAGACTCCAGAGTGCTGAACTAGCAAAGCTCTGTGCTGATTTCCTCAACCATGAGTCAGCTATGTGACGTGTTATACCTCAAGAAACTCCACTAAAACATTTCAGTATATTTCCAACCTCGATCGAGTCCGATTCCTCTTTTTTATTGACTGATCTTTTTAAGATGTTCGCTTGTTCAATCCTTCATTTAGAAGTATTCTTCTGATGTAAGAAAACAATCCTTTTAATAGGTTTAGTTGTCATGTATCGGCTGCCTTCCATGCGTTAGAAGTCACCTTTTGATGATGATTGTATGCACAATCCAAATAGTACTCATTCTTGTTTCCTCAGTCATTTATATTAGCAGTTATGGCCCAAGGGTTTCTAGAAACCTCTCACACTCCGTTGTCATTATGCATAATTGCGTAGCCAAGTCATATCACGTTCCAGATTAACTGTCTATTTTTAGCTGTTTAGTAACACAGTTTTGGCAGTCCAAGAGAAGGATTAGTTTAACTGTTAGGAATCCTTTTGCTTAGATAATTATTGCTGAAAACAGTACGAATTTATGACAATGTTTTATTACTATAATTTTGTTTGTAATCTCACGTAAGCATTTTTTAGTTTGATCTGTTTTACAACAGGTGATTGTCTTTAAAATTGTTCATTCTAAAACGGTTTGCTTTCATTGTCAGCCTACTGTCAGATTAAGTTCGTAAACCAGTCTCCCTGTTTATATAGTGGTCTTCATTTATATTGTTTTTATTTTAGTGGTGATCTCCCTGAAACTCTAGATGCATTCTATAAAACAGATGCAGATGGTTTTGAATTTCCTTCGGATCCATCGTTCGTAGAACCATTACCTACAGTGGTTCGACAAGCAACTTTACTCAAAGACAAAAAGTCAAAACAAGGAGACAAATCGAGAAAGGAGGCCGAGTTGGAAGCTAGATACGATGTATGGAATAAAGGGTTTGTCTGGTATTTTGAATAAGATACATCCTTCTTCTCTAATAGCATCAAAACTCTAGAAGAAACTTATAATAAACTTAAGGAACAGGAATATGAAAGTTCAAAACCACTGGCACGATATGCTAGTGATAAAGATCTTACAGAACATTTGAAGTCACAAATACATTCTGAAGATCCTATGGCTCAGTATTTTGTTCGGAAATCAGCTAAGAAGAAGCGGCAAAAGAAAAGTCACAAAAAGAAAAAACATAGACGTAAGTCCATATAAATGACGTTCAGTGGGTATACAAAGTTTATAGTTGTACATGTGTATCTATCTGAACTGACCACTTTATCTTACATACATGGCCTTTAAGAGTGGAAGACACCCGTAAGCTACTAGTATTTGACCACAGATGCCTTAGAAATATTGCTGGCATCTGCTGGGATCACCGGGTAAGTAATAGTGAGGTTAGACGCAGGGTATTAGGGAATGATGGTAAATCAGTTGATGAGGTTATGAATCTTCATCGACTGAGATGGTTGGGCCACGTATTACGTATGCCTGAACACCGATTACCACGACGTGCAATGCTAAGCGGTGTAGGGGATGGTTGGAGAAAGTTAGGGGCGGCCGAACCAAAACGTGGCATCAGTGCTTGGAGTCACTAACTTCTAGTCTGAGCCATGTTGGTAGATGCAGACTACTTGGTTGGGGTCCGCGTGACCTTCGTAACCAATGGTTGGAGACTCTTGGTGACATGGCTCAGAATCGATCACAATGGCGTCGGTGTATACGCTCCCTGTCTTCCCTTAAACTAAGAGATTAAAATCACTTCATATCTTTCTTTCTACGAACTAATTCTTTCTTCCTATACTATATCCTTATTGCAACCTTTGACCTAACCACTCCTGTGAATCCGGTGTTCATCTTGGTGTGCTAATGAGGTATGGCAACCTGGACCGATGCACATATGTGCCTGGTCCTACGTTGTAGCTGACTGACTGACTTTATCTTACATTAAATGAGTGTTGACCACACAATTCAGTTACCCACTGAATTATCCATAGTGACATCTCAACCGGAGACTTTGCATAGTTTCTAAATCATCCACGACTTTCTTAAATCGACAACCTCCCGATGGGAAATAGAAATGTTGATGTAATCTGTGTGATTTTGGAAAAGTTGACCAACAAAGTTATGTGATCACAATCTGAAAACATGATTAAGACACATTTTGCGTTAGTAACTCAACCGTTTTACATGAAAGCCAATAGTAAATAAGAGTAGTAAAAGTTGGACAAAGATTACCGTAACATAAAAACATAGCAATAGGCCTGTTGCTAAAACTGTTAAAGAATAAATAAAATTATATGAACTAAATAATTCTTTTTTAATTATGTACTTCACCGCTACGACAGATTCGTAGCCTATGCATAGGATGCAACTAGAAACTCCCGATAAACTCCAGTGATCAGTGGATTATTGTCACATTTCTATTTCGTCGTCTTAGATTCCCCCCAATTCAGGTCTATTCCAACATGTATTATACGTTAACTGAGGCTTCTATTAGTCATATGCAACATAAATGACAACCATTTATGTAGAAACTATCATCTTCCTAATTATAATTATTAGTGCTATTTTCCTCGTGTCAAAATTATTTAGTCTTGTTCACTTAATACTCATTGTTTATCTTCACTTTTTACTTTTCCTTTGTTTTTCTCCTTCAAAAACACTCTAAAATTACTGTTTCATTGGTTGCATATTTCTCGTGAGTTGTAGTTTTCAAATCCATCAGTATTTCGGAGTAGTAGCTAAAAGTATTTATTTATTTATTTGAACACATAAATTTTAGTACAAAAGGGGCACCGAATACGTACGTGGCACACAATTCACTTCGTTTGTGTGTGGGCTGTTATACTGTCCGGGTGCCCAGACCGAAGCAGGTGATTTTCTTAGGGGGTCACACACAGGGCCTTCGACCTAATGGTTTGATCCACAAGGCAATGGAGCAGCGTCAGTAGATGCAATTCCATGTTAGCCAGTGACCAATGATTGGTTCATACGCCATTTGTTCCTTCAGAATACTGGAGCGTATATTCACCATTGGTTTGGAATCAGGATTTTCCAATTCCTCTAGGTGGATCCTCCATATCCACCAACCCGGTTAAAGCGCCGGGTATTGGCTTTTCGTCCTCTCAATTTCGTAAACAATAGTAATGCCGCTAGAAGGCAGTGAGTAGGACTTGCCTGGCAGTGATTGTATGCATGTGGTCATGTGAGAGTATTTGGAGAGGGAGAGATGACTCTCCCCACCCTAGGTCGTACCAGGGCATTTGGGGGTATTGCATCATTTACCAAACCACTGTCCTATACTTTGTTAACTTTTATTTGTCTTAAAATATCTTTCAACTTATTTCTAAAAAATGAACTCCAAATATTGCAAAACTTCCGCTTTCTCACTGAGTTGGATGCTTTTTTATGGTGGATATACGTTTGACCTATTAACCTCTCGTAAATGGCCTTCTCTCTTTTTGCTCACTTATGAAGAAAAAGTCTAACTTGTTTATAATTTATAGCATATGACTACACAAATTGTGTTAATGTTTATTTCAACCTCGTCTATTTCTCTGCTTCTAATTCAAATTCCATACTTTGGTCAATAAATTTCAAGATTTTCTAAGGACTGATAATCATTTGAGCAACTAGTTCTTTCGAAGTTTTGCATGTATCATCGATGTACTTTTTCAATGATAGAACTAATCATTTTATCCATCTTTTATTATTTTGATACACCATTTTGTATATGGCTGTCTATAGATTCATCTCATTCCGACATCTCACACTCATCCCAATCAGACGATAGTGGTGATGATGAAGGAGAAGATGATCGACCCCGTTACAAAGGTCCTGAACCACCTCCAAATCGTTATAATATATGGCCTGGTTTCCGTTGGGATGGTGTGGATCGTAGTAATGGCTTTGAAAAAAAAATAGTTGAAGATCAAACTCGCCGACGAGTTGAACGTGAAATAGCTCAACGCTGGGCAGTTGAAGATATGTAAAATTAATAACTTACATTATTATTGTTTGTAAAGTTTCTATTCATTGCACGATGTACAGATGTATTATGATATTATATATTTTCACATTAGAGACTTTTAGTTCAATCTTGTAAGTAAAGCGTTGTTTGATGTGCCGCACATAATCAGCCTTTCTGTGAAATCATGAACTGTTGATTGTTCACTTTAAGTAACTTATTTTCTTATCAATCCTAGAACTATAATAGAATTCGTCACTTATTGAGCTTCAAATGGTTATTATCTGTCAGTCTGATCTATTCTCTGAACTCATTGCTCATTGTTATGTAGTAACTTAATTACTCGATTCATAAGAACAGAAACAATGTCGCAAAGTAGGCCATAGGGGAAATCGTACGGTATCTCCCTCTGAAATGAATACTTAACTCATCTCTAGCATCTGAGAGGAAAAGAACAGTTAGTCTTTTTGCAACCTCATCTGTTGACGAAACGGTGCAAAACACATATCTGTCAATAAGAGATTCATGGGTATTCTTGAGAATAAGACGCTATGGATCTCGGTCGTGAAGCGTCACAATCAACTTCACGCAATTGTTTTGAAAAATCAAGAAAGAGACTTTTTACATCATTTTTCTGAATAGTTCTGTTTAAACTTTTGGAAGCTTTTGCATTTCTCAGCACCTGGTTAGTTATTATTTTATTCAAGTTAATGGGATTAGAGGTTAACGTCAACGTTTTGTTTGTTTTAGTATATGCCTCTAAATATTTTAGTGTTTTGTTTTTTTATTCAGTAAGTCAAAACAAACTCAGATGTAGTAGGTCCTCTGAGTCTGGTTCATAACTTGTCATCGGAATTATTTCTCTTCTAGTGATCCCATAAAGCACTCGGTTTTCAGTCAGCCTCGTGTTATATATTTTTGAGGAGTTGGGAAATATATCACTACCCTTTACAGTAAGATTCTGCTTCAAACTCAAATTTGTAAACATATATTCTTGCTTCCTGAGTTGATTACATCATTCACTTGTAGATGTCGATCTAATCTTTGTATTATTAGAACCCTATTGTCCTAGTTGACTAATCGTCTTTGGTGTTTGCTTATTTTTATTTTATAAAAGGCTTGTTAGCTTTGAACAGATCCATTTACTGAATGATTTGTTTAACTAAATAAATGTTACAATGCTTAGTCTTATGAAGGCAACCGAATTATCAAAATTATTTAACACTATACAAATGATTAGCTTCTCGTAATCTGTTCCATGGATTTGTATGTATCTTTTTACCATCTGGCCAAGTATATGTTTGTGCATACTCTGATTGTTCCATTTTATTCAATTCATACTGTTTGATAGGACCATATCCATCTAGTTTAATTTCTGAATGTGGATTAATTTGATAACCTGGTTTACATACACGTAGTTGACCATGATTTGTTAAAACTTCTGATACACAATGACTTGGTTTTGTGAATGTTGAACGAGTTTCTGACTCACCAGGATACTTGATACATATTCCTGCTTGTTCCTGTGTTTTCGGGAAATGAAAGTAGCAGAGGATAAGGAAACTAGTTGATTTCAAGTTGACATTTTATACTACTAAAACTGGAAATTTGGTAGTCATATAAAAACTGGGACATTTTAATAATAATAATTCGATAAATTGTACGCTTAAGTAGGAATGCAATGTTTATCGTATGTAAACGTCATCTTGATTATCAACTAACTTGCTATAATAATCTAAACGTCAACAACAAACATAGAAGTTGAAACTGGTGGCCATTCATGGGCTGACATCAACCGAAGCAACATTGAAAATCGAAGCTCATTGTACAGATTTTCGTCCAAGCTGTCGCATCAATAACCCAACAAGCATTGAGAATAAGGACGTTCAGGGATAGCAGTGTAGATGACTAAGTTCAGATCGAACAGTCTGCATTCTTAGCGCCATTCAACTATCACTGAAGCATTGTTGTGACCCCCTATGTCCGATTTGCCCACTTAACATGCTTACCTCCTATACACTGACTAGTGAAAAGACTGAGAAATGACTAGGAAGCTTTAGTGGACAAATTTGTCTTAAGTATTTATAACTCCGTCATGGAGGTATTGTATGAAGCCTTGTTGATGCAACCTGGTTGGGATACACTCTATTATCGTAAACAGTGGTTGTATTTACTGGATGATGTAGTTCGGAAACGGACATAATAGTACGGACGTCCTCATTCTTTGTCTCCCCTTAGATTTTGAGGTTTACAAATCATCGTATACTTTTCTATTCTACGGACTCATTCTTTCTCAAACCATATTGTGTATGCGTAATGTTCACCACTACCATTGACATTGCTGGTATGTTTACTATTATAAACATTTGCTTTGATAATTTCAGCTTATTGTGCTGATACGAGGTGTGTCAACTTGAACTAATGGATATATATCCCATATTCTATGTTACTTAGAACTGACCGACTCCACAACAATAGCTAGGTTTATTCAGTATCATACAGTTTTTAGAATGCGAAACTGAACAAATATGTACCGAGTGTTTCTTCAACATCTTTGAAAAGTTTAATTAACGAATGTGTCTGGTCTTGTTTTGTTGATGACTGACTAAATTAACAAATGTTCAAGGAATTACCTGAACCGTTGATGGCCATTGGACTTCATTCTGCTTTGTTTCACAGCTTCTATTTGATTGATCTGAAGCATCACAAGTTATTTGATTGTAATTAGGAATATTAAATCGTGGAGCAATACAAGGTCTTTTCTCTTGACTAAAATCAGGTTGATCTACCTGTAAGTATGCAAATTTTAATGTTTTCAGATGTATGAAATACAATTCACTATATGGGCAAAATAAATTAATGACCGATTTCATCCCTTTGTGAACATTGAACTCTGGCTTCCTCTATATGTTCAATAAATCAATGTATTATACCGCCATATGAGTCTACGGTGGAAAAGAGAGTGTTACTATTTGTGAATGTAACACTTAAACAGCTATTCTATCGATGAAAGATACTCACTTAGGAATGACATGATCTGTGGTGATAGTATAAATTATTACCGAAAATATGCATGATTTCTAACTGATTAGTGGAAATGGAAATGATAATTTGTCCTATCACAGTGATCATTCGTTTCACAATCCGTTCTTTAGATAGAGTTTGAACCCGTCTATTGCACATTGTGAAGGTTATAGGTATTCAAGCCAATAATTTTCCAGTTTGTAATGTACCTATCCATTCCTTTGTTAAGAAAGATGTTTGTGTTTAAGCTGATTATTCACATACATACACACTTTGTTCCAAGTGATTCAAATTTTTCGTCTACTCTTTACTGTAGAAACATTTGTTCATCTAATTACCATGTTTTTATATTCTTATCATTACTAGTACACTTGACATCTTACTATCGATTTGTACCTTCTACAATTCGTTACGTAATCTGTCCGAATTTTATCAATAACTGAGAAATTCAATAGTTGAATTCATGAATCCATTAAAGCTAGACCTCCATGGAAAACCTGAGAGCTCTGGATGACCGTGCAAATGGTGTGTATATTTTCAAGTATAGGGACTTGATGACTGATGTATAAACCAATAATAAGTAAACTAATGCCAAATTATATACTGATGAAATGTTCCTCCTACATGAGTGAAGTTAGTTCGTATAAAGTCATTAACGCTATAGCTTAGAGTTATAACAAGTTCATTATTTTTAGGCCTGTCATGACGCCTACTCTGCTGAAAATAAGTTCTTTACTTTGATTTGGCTATGACTTTTTCAAACGATTTCTACGCCGTGATATTTCCAATATCTCGATTTATAGTATCAGAAGGCATAAAATGGATGGTTTTAGATACTTGGTGACTGTTTTTGCAGTTATCTATAGAAATGGAATTAAAGATCAAGTCGTACGAGAACTTTTAGAATTCTAAACGTTCACAACTAAAACATTTTTGATACGAAACCGAATAGCACGTTTATAGCTTTAGAAATATCGTGGTGTGTTTGTCAAGAACTTCTACGAAATAGCAGCACACATATAAGTTTCTGAGCAACTTTAAGTTTACGTGGACTAGGATTGCCTAAAAAAACGTTCAACTGGATCAAAAACATGCTACACGACCTCCAGATGACTCCCAGATTGCCTGAACTACAGACGCAAGTGATCATCGTATAGGTATCGTCTTTAGTCAGTCTGATAGAGTGGTGGAATATACGAGTCGCGTTCTCACATCCGCTGGACAGAAGTATTCAACGATCGAAAAGGAGTGTTTAGCAATCTTGCGGGCAGTAGACAAATAGAGACCGTGCCTTTTAGGTAGACAATTTCACATTGAGACTGACCATAAACCCCTGCAGTGCCTGAAAGCAGCATGGGATCCCCGTGGGAAGTTGGTGCGATGGATGATACGTCGGCAAGAGTACGACCATCGGCCATGTTTCAGGAAAAGAAAACGTAATGGCGGGCTACTTGTCAAGACCAGACATGGATGCCGAGCTTCCATTGACAGCATACCCATTGAATAGTTTAGAGGGAGACACATGAGAACCCGTCCGGCAGCAGAAAGCTGACCTTAAGCATCCAGTAGTAATCAGAGTGATAAAAGTGGGAGCAGACGAACAGTGAAGAAGGAGGTAATAAATTTGCTTCGGCAAAAGGAAAGACTGAGAGTGAACATATATGGAGCTTTGATCTGGCAGGACGATGACAAAAATTTGGTGGCTGTGATCGCAAAAGACTGGCGGCGTAAGATGATACATGAATGTCACCAGGTAGCGCATACGACCGTCGCAAGAACGATGAATTTAATACGGCAAAGTGCATACCGGCCAGGCATGAGAGACGATGAGGCCCAAAACGTGTTAACTTGCCAGTAGTGCCAACTAATGAAAAGCGATCGATACACACAACTGCCATTACAGTCGATCGCAGTAACCGCAGTCGGTGATCTATGGTCGGTGGATGTGATGAGACCGTTTCCACAGACGGCGAGCGGTAACCAGTACCTACTACTGGTGACGGAATATGCTGCACGGTGGGTGGACGCCATACCAATTGCAGAACAGCGGGAAAAATGATAGCGAGTTAGTTTTCTACGGGATGGGGACGCT